AAACAGTATAAACCTATCACGTAACTAGTTTATACTTTTATCAAGTTTGATAAAAGGTATTGTCGGCATCACTAATTCAGATATTTCAAACTTTTCTGTATTAACTAAGCTGAATTTAAAAAGTTAAATCTATATAATTAGAAAGGACCGGTCATATTATTAAACAATCAAATCTCAGGATCTTGTGTACCGATAACGAAGAAACTTTTAATGAAAAAATCAACAGTTTACTAAATCACACCACTGGTGTTCAACACCACATTTTTTTTATAACATGTAAAAACAATAAGTAAAAAGTAAATAAAAGAAATAAAATAATTTTCTTTACTTTAGGGTTAGGGCTAGAGCTATTATTAGGGTTTGGCAAAACTTAGTTTATATGCAAAATTTCACAAGAAAATTTTATACTTAGAACCCAAAAGATGGTTTCATAGTCAAAATTTTGAATTATTAGTATTTTTTTTTTAAAAAAAAATAATAAAAATAAAATTTATGTTACACTATCTTTATATTACACTGCAGATCTGAAATTTAATTGGTGAAGATCAGGTGTGGTGTGAACACCAGTGGTGTGATTTAGTAAAACCGAAAAAATAAATATCTTAAAATTTTATGAAAACTTGCTTCGTGTCACTAAGTAAAGGTATTCACACTAAGTAAAGGTATTCAGAGCTTAATTTTACAAATAATAAACACTCTAACCTAATATAGTCCTAGCCTTAAAGTTAAAGAAAAATGGTTTCTTATTAAACAAAACTATATACTGGTAAATTTCACCTATGGTTATTTCTAAATTAATTCAATTAGAAAATTTAAATAGATAATTTATTGATTTTTATAAACAACTTAGTAACTAAAGATGTTGTATAGAATAGGTGGGCAATATAAGAAATAAGCTTTGCAAATGATTATTAGTAATCATTATTTTTTTAATATTTAGCAGAGTTTGCCCACCTATTCTATAGAACATCCTTAACTAATACTGCAAATATAAGTTATCTGTTATAAATTTTATGATTAAAAATTTTTTTTATTTAAATATAGGTTATATCTAGTTATATATTTAGTTTTTTAATATTAAATTTTTTTAAACTTGTATATAAAATTATTTAACGTATTCCATGATTGCTATATTTGATATGAAAAAACAAACGGTCATATAATAAATTGCCAATATACCGAGTAATTATTCTAATTAAATTTGCAGAAACAAATAATGTTAGAAATAAATTTCTTTTAAAGTTTCGTTGGCTGTTTTACTATAAATTAATTACTTTTACATGCAATTGATTTATAGATGAAATTTAAAGAAAATTTATTTTCCAAAAGTTACTTGCTTCTGACAAATTTAATTCAGACATAGATACTATAATGATAATTATGAATTTTCTATTAATTACCTTTGTATTCTCAATAATAAGTCCTGTTATAAAATACGCAGATATCGATTAAAATTAGTATTAGAGCTTTCCATAATGATAAAGCTTTATTCCAATTAGACACGAACGAACACGAACTTTATACAAAAATATATTCCTATTTAACAATTGTTCAACCAATCTAGACCATAAATTAATTTATACATTTATTATTTTTCTAATTCAATAAATAAATAATATTTTGGGTCTTTTTTATGCTTTTTACACTCCAAAGGTTCAAAAGATCCAAAGTGCTTTTTAAACTTCCTAGGAAGCTGAAAGTTCATAAATTGCTTATCACACATATTATTTCCAATAGCTTCAAATAATATTTTTCTAGTAACAGAAGGTTGTGATGGAGGTAATGGCAATGGAAGTGTTTGAACTTGTCTAACTCTACTATCAAATTTTTCGCTAATCTCTTTATCATGTTCTGATGCTGAATTACATTCCTTACAATGTAAATATCCCGATGTAAAATCTATTTTACATAATATACCTAATGCATTTATATATTCTTCATATTTTGCAATTAATGCCGTACGTGTTGCTACAGAAAGTTGTTGAAATGTATGTGTTCTTTTAACTTCAGGAAATCTCTCTAAAACTAATTTTGATGATTCTTTGTAAAGTTCTTTAAATCTATGTTGTTCTGCCATTCTTAACACTGGTAATGGGTTTTTCCGAAATTCTCGTTCAAGAAACGCTTTCGCCGCCATTAAAATCGGTTCCATTATATATTTATCGGCTATTCTTAAAAATTCACTTACATTATTCCAATTTATGGTTATATATGTATCGGGATATATATATGACATAAGTTCTTCAAATATTATCGGTGATTCATCTTCTAACCTTATTTCTGGAATTTCACTTGTAAATGGTGATGCGCACGAAAACATATCTTGGAATACTTTTGAAGCAAGTCCGATTATTGTTTTGTGTAACAGAAATATGGTTTTATCCACTATTATTTTAATATCACCATCTGAATAATAATGTAATTTACTACGCTTTGTTACTTGTGTCATTTTTTTTAAACCTTTTTGACTTTAAAAAAAAAAAATTTTTTTTTCAAAAAATATAACTTATTTCATAGAAAAAACAACGTTTGGAGTAGTCTTTATACCTTTTATGCAACTTTGTTAGATTTGTGTAACATAATCATCATCCACACAAAAACGTTCTATAAATAATTCAATTTTTATAATCAATAATATTATTCATCGGCATTATTTATAATTTATGCAACATGATGGATTTTTCGCCGAATATTGTTATATATATTGAAAAAAAAAATTATACCCAATCCTTTTTTTATTACCCCTTCAAAGGTATGTATTTAGTTAATGATCGGCGGCGTCAATCCTTTAAGCCTATTTAAAGTAAATATTTGTATAGCGATAGTACAATCCAAAAATCTGTACTTATGTATTTATTTTTTATCCGTTAATTTCCGCACATAATAAAAGAAAGCGTTTCCTTTGGCCTGCATTAACCAATTCGTAATTTGTAAATTTTAGGAAATAGTCACGCCACTATTTATTTTTATGTACTAAATAAGGTTATCGTTATCATATTAATTTTTTTTTTTTCGTATATACCTCTACGTATGGCAGTTTATATAACAGATAAATTCCAAATTAATGACTGTACCGGGTAAGATTTTTGCTTAAATAACATAATAATTTATCCGGATCAACCTGGGTATTTAATAATACCTAGATAGTGATTTTCTCAACGGATACGTACATACGTACAACCTCTATGTCAAATCTTTAGATTAAAAGTCCAAAAATTTACAAATTAAATTATGCAGTCGTCCCTAGTATCACGTCATGGGCCAAACCATTAGTTAAAACAAATTTTTAAAATAACACTAAAAATGGCCATAATAATTTTCAAGATATTAATAACAAATTTAATAGTGTGAGAGGGAAAAATGTGACCTAGCTGTAGATGAGTGTGAGGGAAAAATGTGACCTAGCGAAGGCACATGAGAAATGTAACCACAACCTGACCCAAAGTCACAACCCGAACCGAAGCTAAGCCGCATGTGAAAGTAGCATTTTAATAAATGCTATATTGGGTTTAGCTCGAGGCGAAGCCCATTGAGAACAATTGAATAATGGCTTTGTGGGAACAAAGGTTAATGTTAGCCGCTTGTAGATTTCCGATGAATCTCTCATGTATAAAAGTCCTGTAAATTCTGTTAGTAAAGAGACAGATAAGTTATTATTTGGTATTAATAAAGACCTACCTTAAAGCCAGGATCTTAGTGACAGTAAGATCCTTGGTTCTCGGACCAAATCTTCCACGTCTCTTTTGAGTTGCCTTGTGTCTTAGCGTTACATTACGTTTTAGTCATGAGGGACTCAATAATTGTCGCGGCTGATGCTGAAATTTGGACCTATTTTGATATGAAATTTTAAAATTTTTTTGGGGGTGTTTTCGTACGATTTTCTTTTAGGGTTAGGTTAGGGTTTAGGGCTAGATTTGATATTTAAAGAGTATATGTGGATTTTAGCAGGGCTTATAGTTTCAAATCGAGACCCCAAATTTCAGCATCAGCATCAGCCGCGACAATAATTTTTTTTAAAAAAAAATACTCTAAATGAATAATTGCTTTCGATTAAAAATAATATCTATTTCGAAAAAAAACAAATCTTGACTTATAAATATTATGAATAAGTTTAAATATGCATATACCAAAAAGTGTTTATAGTAATAATGAATAAATTTTAACAACGCTACGTAGACCAATTTTGTAATCTAGATTTTTTATAGCTTACCAACTAATACATATTTAGTTAACTAAGAAAATTGTAGTATTAGTTTTTATATAATTGTATAAAATATAATATTTATGAAATATTTGTAAACTAGATTAGGGTAAGGGTATAGGTTTTTAGTATATTATATATTTTATAGTATAGTGTTATATAACATGGTGTTATGAATATAACTTTCCAATATTTATTTTAGAAGACTTAAAATATTTAAATATTATAACTTTGATTTTTGCAACTTATTACTAAACTAATATTTAAAGAAGTTAGTGAATATCTGAATCTTATTCGTATTTGATTCCCAAAAGGATATCCGCTATCTGAGGCCGAATCGGATGTTGTATCCGTTTTATTCGAAAATTAAAATTATTATTACAATAATTTGTTGCATTTATAAACATCAAGCTAAATAATCTCTATTGCCAAAGTTTAAGCAATTTCCGAGTACATTTTTCAATTACTTCTTAATTTTAACTTGATGTCTCTTTAAATATAGTAGGTTTAGTAAATCGTTTTATAAACTGAGTTGTCCTGATACCAAATAATATTTTTACATTCTCAACTCTTTCAGACCTTATGTTTAATTTAGGTTTGAAGGATATGTTTCTTGACATGCATAACTTTTCATAAGAATAATTTTCCAAATTATTTGGTATCGCCCACATAAGTAAAACTTCAACTAATGATATCAATACACAAATGTTTGAGACTAATTTGTGTTTATAGTAATATTGTCGATTTAATAATTAAAATATTTAGAGAAACTTATTTATAAAAATTCATATAGAGAAAACATTTTACAAACTATTTTAGAAAATATCTTTAGAGTGCAACTTTTGCATACACAAATTCTATAATATAAACAGATAACAGATATTTATTAATATATTTGATGCAAATTGTTTTCAAAGAAGATTAACTGTTATCTGCATTAAGATTGGATTTAAGACAAATATCAAATTTTATAGATTTTAGATCACATTTCTATAAAAATAGTTTAGCTTTACGGAGTTTAAAAAATAGCAAATTTTATAGTAAAAAAAGATGAAACTTAATATAGCTTTTCTATAATACAAAAATAGAACTTGCTTATATATAAAAATATTTTTTTATCAGTAAACCTTTTTTGAGCTTTTAAAAAAAATTGTAAAGATAATTAGATAAAAAAAAAAAAAAAAAGTAAGAAAAAGATAAGAAGAAAATAGTAGTAAAAATAGAATTTTTTTTTAATTTCTTTAAAAATTTTTATATTAATACTAAAATAGAATCTATATTTACTTAATATATCTTTTACTAAAAAATTTTTTAGTTTTTTTAAATTCAATTTTATAAATTTTCAGTATTCAGATACAACTCTTTCTATTGTTATCAAATGAGTTTTAATATTTTATCTTTATTTTACTTTTATTATTTAGTTATTCTTTATTTGTATTTTATAAATTATTTTATAAGTTAGTAATATCTTTAAATAGTGTTATTAGAACTAGAATAATCTCATAATCATAATGAATTATAATTTGTAAAAATTAGATTAATAGTTATTAAATAATTAGTATTTATTTTTTTTTATATTTAAAAAAGGCCTCAATGCTAGTTAATTTTTATTAAGTTATTTGTAAGTTTATATTAGTTAGTAAGAGTACAATTGGTTATATGTACAACTTTAATTATTGTCTATTTAAAGGTTCTACTCAAAGATTACTTAATAATTACTATATCTAGTATCTATTTGTGGCTACTCTATTTTAAACTCTCTGGCATCTCTGTTATTCCTAATATCAATTTAATTTTATTCTTAAATCTGTACAATCTCATGCTACCTTATAGAGGACTACTCAGACTGGCTTTGCATCTCAAATTTCTTTATTAGAAAGGGTTTTATTTCAAGGTACCTTATTGTTTTCTTTAAGAGAAGTCTGTAGAATACTCTAACTATATTGTATTATATTCCAATTAAGCTAGTATTTATCTTTATAAATATTTGTATAAATCTAGTTTCTACTGTAACTCTTCACCAGATTAGTACTCTGTATATTTAGAAGTTTTACAAGTCAGATCCTTCCAAATTCAGTTAGCTACTAAGCCAAGTTGGTGTTATCACTAATACAAGACACTAGGTTGTATTATATAGCAAACTTACTCACATCTGTTCAATTTGTAATCTTCATATACAGGCTTTTTTTTTGAATAAGTATTAAATAGTGTGACTATTAAAATCTGTACTACTTTATCTAATTCAGAATTTCTACTATACAAGTCTCCTACTTGTAGATCTTATCAAGATTTATTTATGCAATATAACTTAAATATTATATCATACTTCTAATGTCTAATTAATATTAGTACAATGTGATTTACAGAGTTACAACTCCAGAAATAAACAGAGTTTATTATAAGTTGAATACAAAAGTTTAGTAATTATTTAAATTCATTAATAGTGAGATTTGAAGTTCAGATCTCTTATATAGCAGTTCAACAATCTAACTACTATACTAAGATCACTAAACCTTTAGTAATTAGTATTTAAAAATCTCTATTTATATTTAACTATATTTAACTATATTAGCTATGTTTAGTTACATTTAGCTATATTTAGTTATATTTAGCTATATTTAATGATATTTAGCTATATTTAATAATGTTAAGCTATATTTAGTAATATTAAAAAAAGATATATAAACTCTGCCTTTTTTCTTTCTGTAGAAATAGATTTGTCTTTTACAATTTTCTAAATACTCTTTGCTTTATACTAGTCAAAATAATACTATTTAGTATAATAATTAATAGCTAATTTATTAACAAATAATTATTGATTATTAATTATAATAAATATTACTAAATAATTGTTATTTAGCATAATCATTGCCATTTAGCTATGCTATTTTATAAAAATTTAGCATTGCTAATTAGCAATAAATTAGCAATAAATTAGCAATAAATCAAGAATTTTTTAACTACTGATTTATTATTGATTTATTACTAATTGGTAATGCTGAATTTTTATTAAATAGCATAGCTAAGTAGCAGTAATTATACTAAATAGCAATCATTTAGCAATATTTATTATAATTAATAATTAATAATTATTTGTTAATAAATTAGCTATTAATCATTATATCAAATAGCATTATTTAAAAAATCTTTTTACATAAAAATACTACTATTTAGCAATTATTTGTTTATACACTATATGAAAATTACTGCTACTCAAAAATTATTCATATATAAAAATATTGCTACTT